GCGCTGAACCCAGGGCCGCCCTCCCCCCTACTCCGTGCCGCCGCCGCCGCAGCAGCAGCAGGAGGGCCGGACGCGCGCTCGGCTCCCGCTGCCCCGCGTCCGCGCGCCCCGCCCCGCGCCGTTGCAGCCCGGCTCCGGGTCCGGGCGGCGCTGAGGGCGGGCGGCTGCCCCCTGCCGGGCGCGGCGGCCGGCTCCTCCCCGCCCAGTCCCCGCCCGCACGTTGCCCGGGGAACGGGGGGTAGGGAGCAGCCGGGCGGCCGCCGCCTCCATCCATCCCTTCGTCCGTCCCCTCCTTTTCTGCCCGCCGGTGCCCGCAGCGGAGCGGCACCCACCCCGGCCGCCATGCCCCGAGCCGCCTCGCCGCCGCTGCTGCTACTGCTGCTGCTCGCCCTGGCCCAGCGCCGCGCCTGCCTCCCCGCGCCTGCTACGGCCGCGCCCCCCGGGTCGGACCCGTGTCTCAGCCGGCCTTGCCGTAACAACGGCACCTGCTTCCCCGCCGCGCCCCGCCGCCTCTCGTCCGCGGCCGCCTACCGCTGCGCCTGCCCGCCGGGGGTCAGCGGCGCCTCCTGCCAGGTAAGGGCGGCCTCCGCGCCGCGTCCTCGCTCCCGCCCCTGCCCTTGGGCGTCCCCGCGCCGGCTGCGGACGGCTCTGTCCCGTCCTCGGGCCGCCGCGCCCCGGCCGCGGGCGCCTCCCTGTCCGCGCCGGCCTTGCTGGGGGCGTGCTGCCGGCGGGGGTCGGCTGGGGGGGGCCCTGGAGCGCCGTCCGAGGGCGGTCACCGCGGCACGGCCGGCTCTCTCCCTCGGTTCAGTATCGGTCGTTTCACGGTGAGAAGAACCGTCCTCGAAAGCTGCGCCGAACGCTGACGCTCCGTCACGTCTCGGTGCATTGGGTGGCGCGGCCCGGGCTGCTGGCGGGTCCGAGAGCCCGGGGCAGCGCTGATGGCGTCAAACTGCCGGCGGTGCCTTCCCGACGCACAGCAGCGTGCAGGGTAATCTAAAATCGCACTGTCACGTGAAGGCATCTTTTTTGTCTCTAGCGCTAAGGATGAAATGCTTTTGTTATCGCGTTCAGCAATTCAGAATAACTTATTTTTCTGGGAGAAGCGGGCGCGGGCACAGCGAGCTTCGGGCCCTGCGCGTGTGAGGGGCTGCGCTGTGTGTGACGGCAGCGCCGGACGGAGCGCGCGGGGCGGCTGCAGTGCATGGGGGAACGCTGCGTGCCCCGAGGGCTCCAGTGTGGCAGCCCATAATTCAAGGAAACAGTCTTTTTTATTCTTTTTTTTTTTTTTTGGGGGGGGGGGGGGGTTGACTGGGGGGCAGTTGTTCCTTGGTTACGGCGTACCTAAATCGTACAGTTGATATATGGGAGAACACGCTTAGCGAAGGCTCGCCGTGCAGGTGAATTCGAAGTCAGAGAGCAGGAGGAGCGCTGCGCTCCCGGTGCGGCACCTGCCTGAAGGCGGCTCAGTTGGGTCCGTGTAGCAACGAAAGTGAAAATATTAACGTTAATGAGATTCTGTAAAATCAGAGTTTACCGTGGATTAAGTAGAGTTCTCTTCGGCTGATTCTAGCTGCCGGTCTCCTAAGAGTTTAGCGCGCTTCTGTCACTACAAAGAGACAGCGCTGCGCGTTTGCTCTGCTCGCCGCTGTTAGGCTCCGGCGTCCACATCCATGACTAAAAGATTAATGACCTTTCTAAAGACTTTGTAAAATGGAACTCTTGCTGGCATCCCACCTCCTGCGAAGCGTCGCGTCTGGGGAGCCGGCTTTAATTGTTTCTTCAATACAGAGCGAGGCAATATTTTCACAGCGGTTTTATTAACTGATGAGGGGAGGCTCACAGCGCCGTGCGTTTTGTTTCTTTTTATGAAGTACTGAGCAGTGGCTCTTGTAAAAGAAACCGATAAACAAATGGATGCCACTGCTGGCTATTGTGTCAGCAGCTGAAGTGTGGGCATCAACTCTGAGCAGTTGATAGGGTTTTGAAATGTTACCTTAATTAACTAGAGAGCGGGCAGGTTGTTACTTAATATGTAAAGGGATAATGTAAGCATGCTGCTGTTATCCACAGTTGAGGTTTTGCTCATTTATCAAAATTGAAAATGAAAAAATACTGCACGGATGCATTAATTCTTGTGTTTTGCTGTTATTCAGATGGAAACAGTCACGTTCACCGATTCAACACTAACAAATAAAAGAATTTTTAACTCTTAAGTGATACGAAGAAAGCTATGGGTTAGACCAAGTGGGTCAGTGGGATATATTTAGAGTGGTTACTTCTGAGGTTGTTGTTGGACAGTTGGACTTGAAGAAGGCAAAAAGAACAGTAATGGTTACCTGGATCAAATACCTGGATCATAGGAGGTAAGTTTGTTGAAAGTGGAGTTCTTTGGAGCCACAACTGCCAAAAGACATAATTACTTTTGTGTTAGTTCTTGTAGGGAGGGCAACATCTCTCTCTTCCTTCCCACATGCATTAAGGCATAGAATGGAAGAAAAATGTTCTATATGTGCCTACAAATCAACTGGGTGCAATGAAATTATTAAGATAGAGAGATTGATAACAAAGTATGAGATTGCCACAAGATTTTGTCATTGAAGATTTTCCTGTGACTGATGGTGATGCACTTGATGATGCTGATGCTGGCATGGGGAGAGAGGCAAAGAACAAAAGTGTCATCAGGTGCGTGAGATACTTCTAAAAGTCGAGATAGAGCTTCCCTATCGCCAGGTGAAGTATTTAACTTGGCCTTCATCCAATCCTATGACCTTATGTTACAGCTGCTTTGTTACTCATAATTTATATAACAAAAGTGATCTTAGTATATCCACGCCATGCATTATTCATGTCTGTATGTGTCAAGTTACTTAGGGTTTGAATGTACTTTGTTTGGCGAACTTCAAGATTGTTTTGTTATGGATTGTTTGGCTTCAAATGACTGGTGACAGGTGGATGGTTGGACTGGATGATCTCGGAGGTCTTTTCCCACCTTGGTGATTCTATGATGCTGTGTTGTGGGACCTTGCTGTATTTTAACTGCGCTTCTTTTCATGGATGTGATTTTTTTCCCCCACTCCTCTGTGCTGTATTTCTCGTCTGTGTGAAGAATAAATAGAATCAGTGTGTTGAGGAATCTTAAACTTTGGGCTGAGCAGAGATATCACACATATTCCCTATGAAACTGAACAAAAATTGCACCGAATTCAGGTGCCTTTCTGCAGGAGTTGTGCAATTCTCAGTTTAAACTGAGAAAATTTGATTAAATAAAATGAAACAACTTTAATAGCTGTCAAGTGGTTTGTGCTGACATAGCCCCTAAACCTTTACATGTGTTTTTCTTTGAGAATTGATCTTTAACCTTCATTTCTAGCCACTAGTCTAATGACTTTTGCTGTTTCTAATCACACATGTAATCCAGTACAATTATTTTTTTTCTCAATCAGGAGAGTTCTAGGTAAAAAGTGATTTGTGTTAGTAGCTTTTGGAATAATTTTAGAGGCATGAGATGCAATCTAAATAGAAAATGGTGGACTTGGTTATTTGCTTGAAAATGAAAAATCTGAACATAGTTAATTGCATTACATTGCATTATGGTTATTTGGTTCAATACTAGTTTCACTAAAAGATTTGTGAAAGGAAACATTAGTTCAACAATTTTTAAATACTACCATGCATGCTTGTTACTTCTTCCCCCACCCTTCTCTCCTTTGATTGACAATTTTCCTGCCTCTTTTTCTTCAGTGCTTCATAATTTCACAGTTTGTGGCAGTAAGAGGAGCTAGGACAGGAGCAGCGTCTGAGCTGTGCACAGCCTGCCCTGTGCTCTGCCTGCAGCTCTGTGCTCTGCACTCCAAAGGCTGCGGAGGACCCTTCTCTACTTCTGAGAGCAGCGTGCTGGCTGCTGCTGTAACTGCTGTAGCTGTTTAGTGTTGAAATAAGTACTGTAGTAGCAAAAAGAGGAGGATTGTTATTTCTTGACTCAGTGGTCTAATGCTTCTGAAAAAATAGCATGAAATTTCATTGGCCGGGTTATTTCAGGTTTCACTAGACAGTGCTATGCAAAGGGACATCCTTTAATCTAACTGCTCAATCACCTTTGTGTCACTATCCTGATTAATTCTTCATGAGCTCCTGTTTTCTATTAAGTGCTGACATCGCTAATGAAAGGTCTCTAAATCCTTCACAATGAGTTCTCTAACATACTTAAGAAGCTATTATTTTCTGTTCTCATTAATGAAGGGCATATTCTTAGATGATGTATCTATTGTGATGCAAGTGTTTTTGCTATGTGGCCACTCTGTTCTCTCTTCTGTCTTTAGCAAGAGTAAATTATGCAGTTAGTGTAAGCCCTGGAGCCTTGCTTTATCTGAGCACAGTTGGACTTGAGTTCTGAGCTACCTGGTCACCTCCTGCTGACTGACTGTGAACTCTCACAGTGGTTTAGAGTTGAAGAATTTAAATATTTGCACTGGCGCGTGTACCGTGCATGAAAAGTGGCTGCATGAGCTCAGTTTGCTTTTCATGGAGAACAGGAAGCCAGGTGCCATCTTCAGCTTCATAATGGGTGGCCACAGAGAAGGATGGAGCAAGTCTGTTCTGAGGTGCAGTCAGTACAAGGACGAGAAGTGGCAGACATTGGAGTAGGGGAAGTTCTGGTTAAATTGGAGAAAAACATTTCTTGCAATGGTGGAGGCCAAGCGCTGGAACAGGTGCTTGGAATGGTTGTAGGATCTTCTTCCTTGGAGATTCATGGCCTTGATGGACCAATGCCCCAGCTGCCTGAGTGTTTGATTCTCAGTTGAGTTAGAGAATCCCTCGTGCCCCTTTCTGCCTACAGCCTTTTCTGTGAGTTTTTGTGCTATCCAGATACCTCATGAACTGTGATGTCTGCTGCCAGGCAAACTAAGGAATTTCTAGAACCTGGCTACTGAGTGTCAGATATGGGGAATGGTAACACAGAAAACTGAACATGAAAAATAATTTATCCCACATTTTATTTAAGCTATTATAATAGCTTTTTTTTTTTTCTTTTTTTTCTTTTTTTTTCTCCTACAACAGTAGTAAAAATGTGTTTTCAGTCAAATTCTAGCTTTTCAGATCAGCATATTGTTTGAAAATTTGTGAGTAAGAGAAGTATAATTCAGCAATTTCCAAAGCAGTTGTTCAGGAATTGTGCTGTAATTCTTACCATGGGATCTAAACAAATTATTCTAAATGTCTGTAGAATAAAACTGGAGTGATTTAATAACCTCAGTTATGCCAGTGGTTGTTGTTTGGGTTTTTTTACCCGTAGTTACTGTTGTGAATCTACGGTTTGTTTCAGTCTGCTGAAATGCTCTCAAAATTAAATATCTGTTCAAAATAGTTCTTTATAAGTGTTAGTCAAGCCAGTTAAGAACCGAATGAACAGTGCTCTGTAAAACTCCATCCTACAAGAAAAACATTTAGGTGTTGGTTTTACTTTCTTTTTTTTTTTTTTTTTTTTTTTTTTTTTTTTTTTAAATTTTGATGGTAATTAAAGATTTTGAAGAAACAGATCAAATGTGAAGTAGTCAAATAACAGTAGAAGATAA